TCAATAGTGAATCAAACGAAAATGAATTCATTTTACTTCCTTATTCATGAATACAATATAATTTTCAAGTAGGGGGTAGCGGTCAATCAAACGGCTGTCACAAAACACAGAGAGAATGGGGAAAGTCAGGCGATGGTGGTGATGATGCGATTCGAGCACGTGTCCTCTCGGGACGATAAATCGGTGGCCCACAACCGCTTGATGAAAGCTATCCTGTGTTGCTAGCTGGGTCGTTGAGATGCACAAACTATCAGACAACGTCAATGTGCAGTCTCTTTTCAATGTCTCCACAGTAATGCGGCGGAAGAATCAGGGGAAAACTATCCCGAATAGCCTTTGTAGCACCTTGAACCGCGTAGCGATTAAGGGGAGATTTGTGAGGACAGGCAGTGGACAAAGGTAGGGGTGGAGGAGCAGTCCTCACTGTCATCGGCGTGCTTTGAACCCTATGGTCCGAGGTTCAAGCTCCGCCACCGCCACTGCCACCGTACTTTGGTGGTAGGCAGCTCTGCTGTTGCCCGGCTCAATACCACACCTAAACTATCGGGGCCTTATGTGGTTCGCTATTCCAAGTCCTGAGGGTTAGGTTGCCGGTTTCCACGACTGAACAACAGATCTTCGTGACTCCGGGGTTCACCCCGTCTGCTGTTCAACACACCTAGGTGTAATAAAAAAAACTTAGTCAGTTTGCCGTTGTAACACCCACATCTGAACACACAAGTGTGATAAAGAAGGAAAACGGGTTATTCCAGGTGAGCCTGTGGCCTGCTGTATGGTTTGTTTACCTTTTGGAAAGCAACTATACAGAGTAGATAGTGTAGGATAACAGACGTGGTATTAGTTCGTGGCCGACCCTGATNCCACATCGCTGAGCGATCTAAATGACTATCCCATTTTCGGGCGCTAACGGTGATCGTCCGCGATGGCGCATGTAATGATCCCGGGATCATCTTGTTCACATCGTCCAACAAATCTAGGAACGACTTCGTGTCAACTGCCTAGGAGCGTGCGGGATGACATGCAGCTCTACCGTAAGAGGTCAACCGGTTTCGCAAAAACATAATAGTAAAGTCTAAGCCGAATTCTGATGAAATAGTATGCGATTCAATATCTGAACCTACGCTTAAGATAAACACATTGTCTGAATGAACCCCGGGCTGTTCACTTGCATAAAAACACATTGCGCTGAGAGACAACACTCAGCATTGCTTCCTCTTGACTAGCATGACTAAAGGATAGGGCGAGAAGTGAAACTTGCATTAGTATGTACTCAATGCCACTGAAAAGGACTACTATATATTGCACAAGACAGGAGGACAGTTTGCAACAAAATGGATGAACTCTACGAGTTTTATGCAAACCGTATCTGGTCAAGCTAAACGAGGGCCCGGGAGACAGACGCCAATGTAGCGACAGATGAGTTGCATACCACCCATATGGTTCAGAGATTGACCTTGCAAACCAGGACTAAACCTCAGACCTGTACCTAACACCACTTAATATTGGAATGACTTTTCCTCGGCTTATCTCACTCAATTTGAGTGAACATAGGTATATATAACACTTGTACGGGTCTATTCTCGGTTAAGCAAGGTCATGGTAGCAGAATCATTGAGATACTGAAACCCGTCCAAGATTTGTTTGTGGGCGCCCCAGCACAACTAGGTGATGTTGTTACAAATTTACAATTGCAGTGTTCGGACAGCCAATGCTTGACCTACAGGGTAGCAGGACGCCGAGCATGGAATTTGAATGTGTCAAATTCAGAATCATTCCATATATATATGCACCCACGCGAAGATGAGGGGTGAGTGGAAGACGAGGAGAAACCAGTGCCCCGCAGCTTGTGATGCTAAGAGAGAGAGAATAGTAAACACAAGATACAGATCACAAGTTGCATTTCTCGAAATCCAGTAGAACGAGCACAAATTTGTTACAATAGCGGAAACTTTGAGGGTGAATTGGGTTCGAGGGGGGGAGTAAACTTTGATAAATTGCACAGAGCAAATAAGACACAAGAAAGGAGCGTAACTGATTATTAATGTGTATCTCGTGAACGGCGGGCTGTACAAAGTGTATAGAACAGGGGCGGGGGGGATAAAACCATTGACCTGCGTGTGCGGTTTGTGACAGGAACTAATCCGCACAAATTTTCAAATACGACCGACAAATCAACTGCGTTACCGGTGAAGGGGAAAAGAAATACGCGTGGGCTAAATTTTGTGCGCTCATGTTTCTTAGTTTTACTTGTGGATTGATAACAGTGAACAAGATGTTACTTGAAAGCCTGTTGTTGGAGGACGGCGTCGCACTGCTGGTAGCAGTATTATCAGGATACGAATGTCCAGACAGTTTCTAGATCCTACTTTCAACTGTATTCGAGGCAGTATGAATAGTAGTAATAGTAGTAGTTGCAGTAGTAGTAGTAGTAATGGTAGCGGAAATAGTGTATTAAGTAATAGCAGCAGTTCAGTTGTGGAGGGACAAACGCAGACAAAACCACAATCGTAGACAATGACGTGTACTTGAGCAGTGGAAGGATTCAAGACCTGGTGGATTAGACACACGTCATTACTGGTCAAACGAAACGAGGCTTGTAATGCGGGTATGTCAAGGCACGGTAGACTTCGTTCGAGGAGGACTGGAATAACGGATGCGGTCGAATGGGCGAGTCGATTCGCTCAGTGAACCGCGCCGAGATCCGAGCGAAGTAGCGTTGAGCGGCGGAGCCGGACGTAAACCACCGTAACGAGGATTTTTAAGAATACGCTGCATCTGGGATGTAACACAGTCCATCTGTGATGCAGTTCGTAAACCACGTGGCCATTGAACACTTGTGGTTTTGGGTATGTCGAGACCATAGTTCACAGGTTTCCCGGTTCGATTCCACTGATTCAACCATAAGGTACAACAAGTCACGTTATCCATTGCTCCTTTCTCGACCGCTAGATCAACCAGCTGTTGAGAAAGACCGGACTCAACAGTGCCACCGTTTGAGTGCTCCCGGAACCACTTTCGAGCGATCACAGCCACGTCTTGCCCACAACAATCCTCGGTATCCCACAAGCCGTCTGAAGCTACGATCAAACAAAGTGGTTGTCTGGTCGACTTCTCCGACGGTCTCTCCCAAACAGTCATGGATGGCAACGCTGTCATACCCATCACTGCATGATCATCTCCAATCGCCCGGCTCACACAGGACATGCCAGCGACGCGGCAATCGACCAGATTCGGATCATCCAGTTTCGGACGTGCTAATTTCGTTTGTGGTGGTTTGACCCAGTAGGGCAGATTCTGTNTCACGAATGTCTCCGTGACAGATGTGTTGCCGTTATCGGACACGAATTCCGTGGTCACAGAACCACCGGATCGAAGCACCGAGACAAACTCGGGCTGTATCATGGGGTGGAGAGGGAGGGAGCGAGAGAGAGAGAGAGTATGGAAAAGGAAAAATAAACAGAATGAACAAAACGTCAGAAACTGGTTCCGAGTGGATAAGAGCAACTGATACAATTGATGGAACAAATAAACCGGGTCAACTTAACAGATTACAGCACATCATACTATAAACAGACACCTTAAGCAATGAATAAGTTGAATCAATCAGATAATTCTCAGCATAAGATTTTATTTTATCCTTACTGTTTTAATAAAATGAGACTAATAGGAGAGAAATTAAAGGAAAATGTAAAACACACAAAGGAGTTACAAAGATGTCACGTAGTTTCAAAGGCATTAACAGCAACAGTGGCATGATCAAGATACTGTCCAAACAGTTCACGTGAATAGGTAGTGTTTAACTGTATCCGGAATAGGAAGAGGTAGTTAATTAAGTGAATATTAGCGGATGGACAGAATATTAGGCTCAGAGAATCCGAACGAAAATAGAATATTGGACTTGAAAATTAAATCAATAATCTCAGTGGCCAGAAGACAAACGGTATCCACAAAAATTGCT